GATACTGAATTTTAAAAAAAATCTCCAAAGGAGAATTTATTTCTCATTTTAGAATCTATTGTGTTAGTCATAAAAATAGATAGAATACCTCTCCAGGTGATTGAAGATCTTTGATTCATATTTTTATTCATAACCCATTGCTGTCGAGTCAATTTTGACTCATAACACCTCTATAGGACAGAGTAGAACTGCCGCATGAGGGCTTCCAAGGGGGTAGTCTTTACAGAAGCGGACTATTGCCTGTGAAGTGGCTAGTGAGTTCAAACCACCATTTTTTCAGTTAGCAGTCAAGTGCTTTAACCGCTGTGACACCAGAGCTTCTCTTTTTATTCATAATGCAACAACATAGGTTAGAGAAGTGCCACAAACACCTAACTTGGCTGAGATGTGGTCTGGGGTTCTTATTTTATGGCCTGAACGTGTTATATGCTGGGAATACTTATTACGTGTGGCATATGATTCCAAGTCACAAACTGAGATTAAGAGGGAGCTGGGTTGTACTTTGTGGTAACTTGGCATACTGAAATATTACATGTGGCTGAGGCGTAATGGTGCCTACTCTGTTCTGTAGAAATTAGCTGTTTGACATCTGTTTTGAACCCCTAGTGTGTGCTAGAATTATGTTTTTTCAAGGCATTACAGCTGAGGGCATAATAAACCCTTGATGAGAATTTCGTGCTCCTAGAACACTGGGATGTGACTTGGCTTATATACCCCAGTCAGGTTTTCCCCTCATTTTTGCTCTTTGGGAAAAGACAGATGTTGGACGTTCATATATTGTACTTTAAGTCATTGGAGTCATTACTCAACTAGTTGGAGATGCAAATCCCAGAGTGACAAATGTAGTGAGTATATCTGACTTGCTGCTTGTCTCACATCAGTTGGCTTACAGCTAAACTCCCAAATAGAAAAGTAAGGACTTCAACCTCAGAGAAAACCTTGGATCTGTTTAGCTCCTTCCCTGTCCTCCACCACAGTCCTCCCAGCCCCCTACAGCAAGATGTTCACATGGCTGAGCTTTCAAGGCCACAGGCAACCTGTCTGCTCCTCTGGCTCCCGGTGCCCTGTGGTATCCGTGGCTACCCTGCAGGCTCCTTTCTCTCCAGACCACCCTAGGTTTGCTGATAAATCAGCCAGCTTGCTTGATCTCTTTGGTGGCTTATAGAATCTCAAGGAATTAGGCCTGTCTCAGAGCTGTTTTTAAGTTTCTGTTCCCTGTTCTCTTGCGATAGCATCATGGATGCAGAAGACGAGTAAAGGGGATAACAGCTACAAGATGATACCATTAGATGAAGTTATACCTCAGTGGATGAGTAATTGTATGTCACACGTGATTTATGTAATCATAGAGAATAGGGATTCATGCTGAGGTTTCCAGATTTTCTAGATTCCCTGGATTCACAGTGCCTTGGTGGCGTAGTGCTTAAGTGATCAGCTGCTAACCGAAAGGTCAGCGGTTTGAACCAGCCTCTACAAAGGAGAAATGTGTGGCAGTCTGCTTCTGTAAAGATTACAGTCTTGGAAACCCTCTGGGGCAATTCTACTCTGTCCCGTAGGGTCTCTGAGTCAAAATTGACTTGATGTCAACGTGTGTGTGTGTGTGTGTGTGTGTGTGTGTGTGTGTGTGTGTGTCTAAGTAATTTTTTGTGATTCCTTTAAGCCAAGAGAAAAATCAGTTTCTATTAAATAGCAGTAGTTGTTGTTAGTTGCTATCAAGTCAGCGTTGACTCATGGCAAACCCACGCACAACAGAACAGAACACTGCCTAGTCCTGCATCTCCCGTGATCAGTTGCAGATCAAACCATCGTGATCCATAAGATTTGCACTGGTTGGGTTGATTTTTGGAAATAGATCACCAGGCCTTTCTTCCTAGTCTATCTCAGTCTGGAAGCTCCACTGAAACTTTTTCAGTGTTACAGCAACACACAAGCCTCCATGGACAGACAGGTGGAGGCTGCATATGAGGTGCATTGACCAGGAATCAAATGTGGGTCTTTTACATGGAAGGCAAGAATTCTACCACTGAACCACCAAATGTCCCCATGTTAAGTATAAGTTGTTAGGGTCAAACAATTTAAGAAGTACTTATGCCCTAGCAACTTAGCAAACATCTGAAGCATTAATCCACATAAATTAAAGGAAATAATACTTATTTTAATCCTTCAATAACCATAATCACTTACCGGTGGTATTTGGGCATCTGATGAGCTCTGCACAACTTCTCAAACCTTGGAGTCTGACTGGACACCACCTCCCTCATTTCCTGTCCCACACTGATTTTCACACGGTACTTGCTTTTTATCATCACAGCCATGAAAACCCAGGTTCACAAAGATACCTGATCATGCAAAAGAATGTAGCATGTTGAAACCGTGAGCTACCTTAAGCTAGTATTTCATACCAGTCCCGGAGAGATGTCACTGTGTTTTCCCTTGAAAATTTAAAAGATCTCGTTGCAGCACCCCAGGCCACCAACAGACGCAGTTTGGGAACCACGGGTCAGGAGGCAAGCAATTCTCAGATGTGTTCAATTGTTTTTTTGTTTGTTTTCAACAACTGAGGTTTCCTATGCTAAGTGCGGGGTGGGCGGTAACTGCTGTTTTGCCTTTGACAGCCAGCGTAATGATTTCACACAAATACATCCCAGCCATCTCACGAAGTGGATGGTTCTTGTTTTTTCCATTTTATTTGTGAAAAAACCTGGACTCAGAATTATTTTCCCTCCTTAAATAGTATGAGGCATGGAAAAAGTTCATGCACAGTTATTTAACTTTCACTCCTAGGGTGTTTTCTCTATGCTGTATTTGATGTCTGCTTCTACTGAGTTCAAAAATGGAAGAAGTCACACTTGCCTAGCAAGTTGGAATTGTGGGCTGTGTCTGCCAATAAGAAATGTAATGAGAGAGGAATATAAAGACCAACCCTTGGCTCCGAGTAGCAGTTGCAGGATCTTGGAAAGAATAGATACAGCTTAATATCCCTCTGTGTTAAAAATTGCTTACGTTTGGTTGACTGGAAGTTCATCAATAATCAACAGTAAAGCTTCCAGTAATTTTATATTCGGCTGCCTTAAAGGAAGTTTAGTGTTTGATACTAGGGAGATGATGATTCTGTTCTACTCTGCTCTCAGCTGTCTTGAAGATCATTCTTGGAGGCTATTTTTAAGTTCTGAAGCATGCCAATTAAATTGTGGTTGAATGACCTGAGAATAGTTAGCCATCAGAAACTGAGCTCTGGGGGGAATGATCTGATAGGGGTCTTCATATTTCAGCCTTCCAAATATTTGAAAGAGGGAGAATGCTTGTTCTGGTCTAGCTCAAAGGGTCAAATTAGTGCTTTGAAGTATGCTCAACAACAGAAAAAGTAATAATAATAATTTTTAGTGATTGAAACTTCCCCAGAAGGGAATGAAGTCCCATCATCGAAGACCCTTGTGAAACATGATAAAAAGGATATTGGATCGTAAGCAATGGCCCCGAGAGCCCTTTCAGCCCTAAGATTCTGTTTTTCTAACTTCCTAATTTCTTTTCTTTGTAACTTAACAAGGCTTTTCAGAGTACCTGTGCTTTAAATTCAGCCTGCTTGCTTTCCAGAGTGGATAAAATGAAATGTAAGATAAATTTTAGATTAGTCTGCTGGGAATAGGTATTTTTGTGGGTTGGAGGCCATATGAGAGGTCATAGTTCTTACTGGGAAAGCCTCTGAGTGCCCATTCTAGTTTGTAAGGATAGTCAGTGTATCCAGTCTTTAGTGACTGGCAAGAAAAATGCATAGTAAATGTTTGCTTAATGAATAAGAAGAGCTGTGTGTGTTTTCCCCTTTCCTAAAGGAGTCCCTGGGTGGATCAAATGACTAAGCGCATGGCCCCTTGTCTAGATTTTGTTAAGGTTTCAGGGGAAGATGGAGTCTGTCTGCTTGAAATGTCTGTAGAATAACAGACCTGCATTTACAGTTTTTTGAGGAATGAAATACCAAGGTTTTTTAGCTTGTGGGTGCTGCTTCTAGACCTCCGGGAAACCCAGAAAGGTCTTTTACTTTGTGTGTGTGTAAGTGAATCAGGGGTTTTCCAATAAAGTTCCAAATTTAAATATCAGCTTACCAATGCAGAATATAAAATAAATCAGTCCTGAAGTACTAGGAGATTTATCATGTTGTTATATTATCTGGTCTTAGACTCTGAACAAACAATTCTTTATAATTAAAGTGCTGTGTTTTAGACCCCATAGACTGATACTTGGTCAGACTCTGCTTCTCCCCTGACGGCTTGTGGGCTTATGGAAAGTAGTCGGCCTTCTTTGATTCTTTGTGGAAATCCAAGGGATTACCACTTGGCAAAGGCTGCTCTCATCTCCGCTTTGGGGCTGTGCTTCTCCATCGGTCCCACTATAGTAGACCTTCCCCGATAACTCCCATTCTTGTGGCCTTCTGCCTTGGCTACCCTTCAAACATTGTTTCCATCTCTGGATTTCTTTGTAGAGCTAGATGAGAAACCTTTTCTCTTTCCTCTTACTCAAGCCCTTCTCATGCCCTGCCAATTTTCATTTCCCTTCTGTAAAAGCCAATTTTACAGACAATTCCCTTGCCAGCCCTATGATGTGTCTGATGAACAGCAAACCAAAAACAGAGTCTCTGCGAGTGTTCTGATTTATTGGGAAGATGTTTCCCAAGATCTCTGGACCTGAGCGTCACTGCCTTTATCATTCAGGAGGTCACACATGCACCTGAGCAATTCACCCTCCTGCTTCCCACTTAGAAAGATGATTACAAATGGGCTGTATCTTAACTCAGTTTTGAGTTGTGCATTTCATCTGTGAAGTTGGCAAACACTTAAAAGTCACCAGCTACTGTTTTCTGAAAGCTTCTTTGCACATGAGCTAAAACGTATGTATGGAGTTTGGAAATTGTCCAGTAACTGCCCTTTTAATGCAGCTCAATGTAGATCACAGCTGTTACCCCTGGAAAGCCAGGAGGGTAAGAACTCCTCTTTATTCTCTTACAGAGTGTCTCCTCTGCAGAAGTCTGAAATAGTCGATGTGGTTAAGAAGCGGGTGAAGGCCATCACGCTCGCCATCGGGGATGGGGCCAATGATGTGGGGATGATCCAGACTGCCCACGTGGGTGTGGGCATCAGTGGGAACGAGGGCATGCAGGCCACCAACAACTCGGACTACGCCATCGCCCAGGTGAGAGCAGGCTGAGCAGCTGGCCCGTCCTGTTGATAGGGAAGTCAGCTGGACCAGAGGCCTGGGGTTAACCTCTGTCCTACCCCAAGAGTGTTGCCACCTCTTTTGAGCCTGCTGTATAGGTGAAATTGCCATTGCGTTCGTGTTTCTCTGTCATTTTGATCTTGTGCATTTTGGAGGTCCTGCCCTGCTGGTTGGGTTTCCTTTTGCCAGTCGTGGGGTTGGCCAGGATGCTCTGTCCCCCAGGCGAGAAGCCATCCATGACTGCTAGGCCTCTGGTCCTGCTAATAATAACTCCAGTGTAGCGTTTAGTCTTTTCAAAAATGTGTTGCCTTAATCCCATGAATACAGGGAATAAGGGCTTTTGCCCTTCACGCTAAAACCATGGGCTACATATACAAGTTCAGGAGCCACATACAGCCCAGGCTTGTGTTCTGGTCCTCTGCAGTTTCTGGCTCCACGCCCCTGCACCCACCCGCCTGAAGTAGACACCTGCACTAAATCACCTCACAGTTTCTTTCAGCTCCACAGCTCTGTGAGTGCAGCGAGGAATGACAAAATCCTCATGAGAAGTGGATGAAATCAATCTTCTTCCTTTGTTGCTTTCACATAAATTCTCAAAATAATTCCTAAAGTAGGTAGGAGAAGGAATTCTGATGTCACAGGTGGGAAAACTGGGGCTCCCCGTCATCAGGTGACCTGCCTGAAGTCCAGGCGTCAGCCGGTCGGTGTTGGAGAACAGCAGACCTGTGTGTGAGCAGGGCACTTTCCCAGCACACCTGCCTGTTGCCTTTCCCTAGGCAACTGCTCCATGGCCGTTGGGAATTGTGCTTCCCGTAGTCTGTCAGCAACTCTCTGTGTTATACACTCCAACATTATTAAATACTTGAGTTATAGCATCATGCAGCTGGAAGGGATCTTGAGAGGTTCCCTAGGAGTTCCAGGCAAGTATTTGTGTCTTTTCCTTTAAAATGTCTGGGGAAGGGAGATTCCACGAGCTTGTTTACTGGAATGGAATACTAAGAGATGCGGAATCCTGAGTGGTTGCGCTCTTCAAATTAAAAGGGTCAAAGAAGGGCGGAGCGGGGAGCAGGTTGTGTAACTCTATTTAGGGTTTTTTTTTCCCTCCTCCAGTATAATTGCTGCCTTTGCCAAAGGAACTGGTAAATGGTCTTCATCTTCTCCTGTTCATGGTCTTTTATGATTAAGCAGAAATCATATTATTTCAGGACAGTATTCCTCCTTGCCTTCACACCCTCTCCACCCAATAATGTAATGTACTACATCTAACTTAATTACTATGAGGCATTGGTGGTTCAGTGGTAGAATTCTTGCCTCCCATGTGGGAGACCTGGGTTCTATTCCCAGCCAATGCACCTCATGCACAGCCACCACCCATCTGTCAGTGGAGGCTTGCATGTCGCTATGATGGTGAACAGATTTCAGCAAAACTTCCAGACTAAGACCAACTAGAAAGAAAGGCCTAGCAATCTACTTCTGAAAATCAACCAGTGAAAATCCTGTGGATCACGATGGTCCGATCCTCAACCAGTCATGGGGATGACACAGGACCGGGCAGCATTTTGTTCCCTTTTGCATGGGATTGCCATGATTTGGGGGTTGATGGCAGCTAACAGCAACTTTAATTACTAAACTAACAATACCACACTCTGATGAATTATTTTACCCTATTGAAATGACAGATGCCTCTGACTGAAGCTAACATCTTAAGCCCCCATCTGTTATTGGCATTTTGATGTGGCTAAATAAGTTTTTGATTGCGTTTTTCAGAAACTACTCTGTGCGGTTATATACTGAAGGAAAAATAAGGGTAGCTCAAAGACTTGTCCTTGGAAAAATTATGAAGTGGGCAAAAGTTCTGTGTCCATGTCTTTTCCTGCCTACCTTGTGCATTTATCAACATCGACAGCCCCTTGGCTGATAGCACCCTGTGATTGTTACCTTGTCTATGTACAGCCATTGCTTGCCCACGTGTCATAATGTGCGCTTACCCTACAGCTTCCTGCTCTTGTCTGGAGAGAATCATTCCTGCCCGCTAGGTTTTTAATGTTTTTTAAACAACCTCATGAAAATAGCATTTTAATTTAGTTTTTTTTTCTGAAAACAAATCACTGTAGTGCTAAAGTTGAGACATTCAGGATGACTCAAGCAGATGTTCTGTGTCCTCATTGAAGTTTAACATTGGGGAGCCCCGGTCAAGTACAAACTTCCTCTTTATTTGTTTAGCTCCTTATTTTATGATTCCCTATTCCCCTTTGGAATCCTTAATGTGCCTTTATGGGAAGCTTTATTTTTCCATATGTACCTACTTCTGCCATTTTGAAGTCCTCAGTCATTTAGATCTGGGAGTAAGTTGATGCGTTGCCATCCTTCCGCCAAATCTTCTGGAACAAGTCATTGAAATGTAATTTCGTCTTGGATGTAGTTCCTTTTCTTTAGTGCTGATGGAAATTATAACGTAGTTTCCTCCTGAACAAAATACTTTTTAAAATGTTACATTATATTCAGTCAGGATCTTTCTTTTCAACATACAATTAAGTTTTATTTCAAAAGTAATCTGAAAGTAGTAGGAAGTTTTCTGTAGCAAAAGAATTTCTAATGTTTGTGAATGTTCTCAGTACTGCCTGATTGCCCCTCCATAAAAGGGTTTGAGCTTGTGGACTGCCTAGAGGCAGGGGGCTTCTGACCCTGGGATTAGAACGAGGGGATTAAGGCAATCAAGGGGGAACGCCACCCCATGTGAGGCCAATTTAATGTATACAAACTGTGAATTTAAACAGGATTGTCCTTCACAGCATATTCATGCCAGAACACACATAATTCATTGTTGTTAGCTACTGTCAAGTTAATTCCGACTCATAGAGACCCTATGTACAACTGAACGAAAAACTGCCTAACCCTGTGCCATCCTCACAAAAAATGCTATGCTTGAGCCCATCATTGCAGGCACTGTGTTAATCCATCTCATTAAGGGTCTTCCACTTTTTCACTGATTCTGTGCTTCACCAAGCATGATGTCCTTCTCCAGAGATTGGTCCCTCTTGATCATATGTCTGAAGTACGTGAGATGAAGTCTCGCCATCCGCACTTCTAAGGAGCATTCTGGCTATACTTCTTCCAAGACAGATTTGTTTGTCCTTCTGACAATCCAACATTCTTCGCCAACAACATAATTTAAATGTGTCAATTCTTTTTTGGTCTTCCTTATTCATTGTCCAGCTTTCAAATGCACATGAGGCAATTGAAAGTATCATGACTTGGATCAGGCATACCTTAGTCGGCAAAGTGACATTGTTGCTTTTTTACCACATTTAAGAGAACTTTTTTTTTTTTTTTTGGGTGGGGAGTTGGGGGGATCCCTGATGGCACAGTGGTTAAGCATTCCACTGCTAACCAGAAGGTCGACAGTTCGAATCCACCAGCTGCTCCTTGGAAACCCTGTGGGCCAGTTCTACCCTGTCTTGTAGGGTCACTATGAGTTGAAATCGACTTGACAGGTTTGGTTTTTTGGTTTAAGAGGTCTTTTGCAGCAGATTTGCCTAGTACAGTATGTCATTTGATTTCTTGACTGCTGCTTCCATGGGCATTGATTGTGGATCCAAGTAAAACGAAATCCTTGACAACTTCAGTATTTTCTCCATTTATCATGATGTTGTGTATTGGTCCAGTTGTGAGGATTTTCATTTTCTTTAGGCTGAGGTGTAATCCATAGTGAAGGCCGAAGTCTTTGATCTTCGTCAGTAAGTGCTTCAAGTCCTCTCCACTTTCATCAAACAAGGTTGTGTCATCTGCATATCACAGGTTGTTAATGAGTCCTCCTCCAATCCTGATGCCACATTCTTCTTCATATAGTCCAGCTTTTCAGATTATTTTCTCAGCAAACAGATCGAATAAGGATGGTGAAAGGATACCATTCTGGCACACACCTTTTCTGACTATTTGCTCAGCATACAGATTGAATGAGTACGGTGAAAAGATACAACTCTGACCCACACATTTCCTGACTTTAAACAACACAGTATCCCCTTGTTCTGTTCGAACAACTGACTCTTGGTCTATGTACAGGTTCCACATGAGCACAATTAAGTGTTCTGGAATTCCCATTCTTCACTGTGTTATCCATAATATGTTATGGTCCACACAGTGGAATGCCTTTGTATAGTCAATAAAACACAGGTAAGCATCTTTCTGGTATTCTCTGCTTTCCCCCAAGATCCATCTGACATCAGCAATGATATCCTTCGTTCCACATCCTCTTCTGAATCTGGCTTGAATTTCTAGCAGTTCCCTGTCACTGTACTACTGCAAACATTTTTTATTTATCTTCAGCATAGTTTTATTTGCATCAATATTAATGATATTGTTTGATAATTTCCGCATTCCATTGGATTACCTTTCTGGAAAAGGCACATATATGGGTCTCTTCCAGTCAGTTAACCAGCCAGATAATTGTCTTCTAAATTTCTTGGCATAGGTGAGTGAGTGCTTCCAGCGTTGAATCCATTTGTTAAAATATCTCAATTAATATTTCGTCAATTCCTAGATATTTGTTTTTTGCCAGTGCCTTCAGTGCAGCTTAGACTACTTCCTTCAGTACCATTAGTTCTTCATCATATGCTGCCTCCTAAAATGGTTGAACATCGACCAATTCCTTTTGGTGCAGTGACTTTGTATCTTTCCATCTTCTTTGGATGCTTCCTGCGTTATTCAGTATTTTGTTCATATAATCCTTCAATATTGCAACTCAAGGCTTGAGTTTTCTTTTCAGTTCTTTTAGCTTGAATAATGCCAAATGTGTTCTTCCCTTTTGGTTTTCTAACTCCAGGTCTTTGCACATTTCCTTATAATACTTTACTTTGTCTTCTCAATCACCCTTTGAAATCTTTGTTCAGCTCTTTTACTTCATCATTTCTTCCTTTCGCTTTAGCTACTCTGTGTCCAAGAGCAAGTTTCAGAGCCTCTCCTGACATCCATTTTGGTCATTTTTTTTTCTTATTTTTCTTTTTAATGACCTTTTGCTTTCTTCATGTATGATGTCCTTGATGTCATCCTACAACTTGTCTAGTCTTCAGTCATTAGTGTTCAATGCGTCAAATCTGTTCTTGAGATGGTCTCTAAATTTAGGTGAAGTATACTCAAGGTTGTGCTTTGGGACTCATGGACTTGTTCCAATTTTCTTCAGCTTCAACTTGAACTTGCACGTGAGCAATTGATGGTCTGTTCTAAAGTCAGCCCTGGCCTTGTTCTGATTGATGATATTGAGCTTTTCCATCATCTCTTTCCACAGATGTAGTCAATCTGACTCCTGTGTATTCCATCTGGTGAGGTCCACATGTATAGTCATCGTTTATGTTGTTGAAAAAAGGTATTTGTAACGAAGAAGTCATTGGTCTTACAAAATTCTATCATGCCATCTCTGGCATCATTTCTATCATCAAGGCCGTATTTTCCAGCTACCAATCCTTCTTTGTTTCCAGCTTTTGCATTCCAATCACCAGTACTTATCAATGCATCTTGATTGTATGTTTGCTCAATTTCAGACTGCAGAAGTTGGTAAAAATATTCAATTTCTTTATCTTTGGCCTTAGTGGTTTGGTGCATAAATTTGAATAATAATCATATTAACTGCTGTCCCTCATAAGTATATGAATATATCCTATCACTGACAGTGCTGTATTTCAGAATAGATCTACAAAACAAAAATGAAGTCTCATTTTCCTGCCTCTAGCTCAATGTTCAAACTTTTGGGGACCTTTGTGAAATAAGATACACAAGACAAAACCGCTAAAGAGGAGGATGAGCAAATATGATTGAGGTTATTCCACAAAGACCTTCTACCCCAAATTGGACTCATTTATTTTATTAGAATATTGCTGGCTCTTTATTTCAAACTGCAAAACCATTAAATTCCTATCAACTTAGTATCAGTTAGCTTCTCATTTATTATGTCACAGTAAAATATGTGTTTGGGTAGAGACTCATTCCCACTGTAATTTTCTTTCCTTCAGTTCAGCCTGTTGCCTTCCTTTAATAATTAAGACCCTTTTTCTTTTGCTGTTCGTGCTTTTGTTATTATATCAGATAAATCCATTGTTAAAAGCCTTGCCCCTGCATTTTCTTCTAAGATTTCTGTGGTTTTAGTTTTCGCATTTAGGTCCTTAATTCATTTTGGATTTATTTTTGTGTATAGTGTGAGGCATGGATCCTGTTTCATTTTTCTACATGTTGTTCTTAGGTGCCATCAAGTCAGTTCCGACTCATAGCAACCCTGTGTACAACAGAATGAAATGTTGCCTAGTCCTGTGCCATCCTCAAAATTGTTGCTATGTTCGAGCCCATTGTTGCAGCCACTGTGTCAATCCCTCTCTTTTTCGCTGACCCTCTACTTTACCAAGCATGATGTCCTTCTTCAGGGACTGATCCCCCCTGATAACATGTCCAGAGTACGTGAGATGAAGCCTCACCATCTTTGCTTCTGGCTGTACTTCTTCCAAGACAGATTTGTTCATTCTTCTGGAAGTCCATGATATATTCAATATTCTTCACCAACACCATAATTCAAAGGCATCAGTTCGTCTTCAGTGTTCCTTATTCATTGTCCAGCTTTCACATGCATATGCGGTGATTGAAAAATACCATGGCTTGGATCAGGCACACTTTGATGTTCATTCTGTGTGTAGATCCAGACATTTTCCCAACACCATTTATTGAAAAGACTCTTCTTTCTCTATTGAGTGGACTTAGCATCCTTGTCAAAAATCAGCTGATCATATGTATGGGTGTATGTTTACTTCTGGACCCGCTCTCCTAGTCAGTTGATTTTGTGTCTATTATTATGCCAGTATCAGGCTATTTTGGTTAATGTAGCTGTATAATATGTTTTGAGATCAGGAAGTGTGAGTCCTCCTACTTTGTTCTTCTTCAAAATTCCTTTAGCTATTTGAGGCTTCTATAATTAAGATCCTGTAGAATGCATTAACCTAAATAGAATCTTATGAAAATTACCATTTCACATCCAGTAGCTTGTTTGGGTAAAATAATGATTATTCAGATTTAAAAGAAGATTTTAGATGTTCTCAAAAAACAAAAGCCAAACCAGTTGCTGTTGAGTTGACCCCGACTCATGGTGACTCCACGTGTATCAGAATAGAACTGTGCTCTGTAGGGTTTTCAATGGCTGATTTTTCTGAAGTAGATTGTTAGATCTTTCTTCTGCTAGTTGTTCTCATCAGGCCTGAAAGCTGCCCCTTTAGTGAATGGTTTTCTCAGGTTGCCTGTACAATCTAGTTTTGTCTACCTACCTTATCTGACATCTTCAGTTCATATGGAGTCCCGGACGTTTAAGATATTGGGGAAAAAAAATGATCTCTGATTTTCATTCTAAGTGATTGGCTCTTCTAAACTTTGGCTGTTATATATATATTTCAGTTTTCCTATTTGGAGAAGCTTCTGTTGGTCCATGGAGCTTGGAGCTACAACCGAGTGACCAAATGCATATTGTACTGCTTCTACAAGAACGTGGTGTTGTATATTATTGAGGTAAGAAAGGTTTAAGTTGTTTGTTTGTTTTTAATTTGAAGATGTAGCCTTTCTCAGAGGACATATTTAAGGAAATTTCAAGAAAGGAGTTTGTTAAGTAGACTTTTTTTTGAAGATGCTACCTGTGAAATAAACAGCCCCCTTTGAACCTGGGTATACCTCCCAAATCAAAGTCCTCATGCTGAAGCAGCAGCACCAGAAGTCTTCAGCCTTCTCTCCTATGGACCATGACCTCCTTCCACGCTCTAACCCTGGTAGATGGATAAAGTCACCCTTGATCGCAGAGCTCCTCTGTGCCTGCCCTCTTGCCTGTTGCTGTAACTGACACCCTCCTCCTCCGGGGGGTTGGGGAGTCAGAGCCTGGGCAGCAGATACTGATGCCCTTTTGTGGTCAGTGGAGGACTCTAGGCAACCTGGTTATTTTTTCTTTACTAGAATGAACACAGTGGTTAAACCCTTGACTACTAACCGGAAGGTTGGCGGTTCAAAGCCACCAGCTGCTCTGTGGGAAAAAAGACCTGGCAATCTTTTCCCATAAAGATTACAGCCTAGGAAACCCTGTGGGGCAGTTCTGCTCTGTCATATAGGGTCATTGATAGTTGGAATCGACATGACAGTGCACAACAACAACAGGAAAATGAACGTGGTGCTATTTTGTGTTATATTTATCATGGAATCTATAAATTTCCTCGTTAGAATGAGCTCAGATTCTATTGTCAAACTATTTTTCAAGGTGCCGATTCAGCTAAAGGAACAGGAGAAAAGTAGTGGGCACCAAGAGTAGAGCAGACACCTTATAATTGATAGCAGTAGGAGTACCAGTTACTACCTTGTTTTCCTTTTTAAGAACAGGTCTTCTATAAAGTGGCTCTTGAGGCCATCATGACTAACGGATGTTCAGATGCAACTTCTATTTAGAAAAAGAGGAAGTAGACAGTCTTTCTGTGGAGGAACAGGAAGCCAATTATAATTTTTTATTGTGTTTAATAACTCATTCTCTTAGGGTTTATTTTGTGTCTTATTTTTCAGCCCTTGGCAAAAATAATAACCAACGCACAGATTTGATGAGGTCTTCTAAAATACACAGTTTAGATAATTTAATGAGTGGCTTGCTAATGTAACTGTGATTAATCATTTATTTACCACATTGTCTGCTCTCTCCTGCTGAATCGTTCAAGTCAAACATAGAGATTTGTGTTACTCCTCCCATAACCGAACTACTTCAGGCTGATTTTCCCACGTTGGGCAGATTGCCCACTGCACAGGCTACCCAGCCAAATGGGCAAATGGGAGCTAAAGTGTAGCCTCCATTTCTCCAATATTTAGGTGGTATGGAGCCTGCTAATTTGCACAAGGGGCACCTGCTTGCTGGGCTGTGTGCCTTGCACAGAAGGTGTCTCTTCCTGGTTCTCACACAAGGGCCTTGTGGGCCAAGGCAGCCCTGATTATGGCAGGAGTTGGTACTCTTAAAGAATTTGACAGGCTATCAAAAGAGATCCGGTTAAAATCCTGAACACGGATCCATTTTTCCTAATTTGGAAGGAACCCTTTGTGTGAAATGTCCTGTCAGCTCTTATTAAACAAACGAGGTTATATCTGTAGGAAGAAAATAGCGGCAAGGTCTTGAGACATATGGAGATGTAACTGCAGATGTATTCAGTATGGTGAGGTTGCAATCAATAATAATAATTTTAAAAATCATCTATAATATGTCCATCTGTGTTGTGCAGCAGTGTTCAAATCAATCCGCTCTGGATAAGAACTTTTAGATGTTACGTGTAATGGGTTTTGTGGGTTCTATCTTCTTTCTGCCCTCATTGGTACAGTTCCCACTGGGCACTTGAAGAAACGTGTCTCCTCCCCCTTCCCTGTTGTTTGTATCTGTGAAAGGAGTAACTCCTAAGTGTCACTTCGGGTCATAGATAACTCGTGTGGTGGGCTAAAATGAAGGAATAGTGGAATCTCCATTCCTATGTGTCATTCCAAGTTTCACACGCATTTTAAGCTACTATAGCTGTTGACCTCACAAGGCTTCTTAATAACCTGGTCTTCCTCACAATCAGCAAATTACAGATAGTCTAGACTTCTTATCAAGACATTCTGCATGAAGCTCCCAGCCCCATGCCTTTCCAGAGCTTCCCAGGGACCCTTCTTAGTCATTTACGCCTACTATCTTGCCTTTTTTCCACTCTAGCTGCGGTGAGGCTGAGAAGAAGATGACCTTAGTCTGTGGGAAAAAAAAAAAAAAGAAAAGCTGTTTGGAACTAGGCTTTGAAAGTGCCTTGTGGGGGCCTCAAATTAATCTTCCAATTGTAGCTACACAGCAATTGTTACATGGTCTTCCATAAACTTCCTTTTAAAATATTCTTAAAATTTTTTTTTTTTTTTTTTTTTAATGGAAGGAAGTCTCCATTGCTCTACGCGCAATTTTCTATTTAGTATTTCTAGGAGATATAAATTTGAAAACCAAGTAACACAAAATTCTGACTGTGCTTAGACTATCCGAGTACTCGCTCAGACGTGTCCACTTTTGCCACGTAGGTGCTGTGGCATCAACGTGCGCTTTAAATGTCATATTCCAAACAGAAAAGCACTGCTTGCATGCTACTTTAGTATGTTTTCAACTATAAGATTTGCTCATTGCAAGGCGTGCTTATGCTTTCTAAAGGTAACGTTATAATTAATTACTTAAGTGGGAATGAATTGAGTGTATTATTTCTCTTAATGATATCCTTGTTACAAGGGGAAGTCCTTTGCAATAGCCAATATGTTCTCATCTTAAATGCCCTCTCATACAAGTAACTACCAGGTTTTGTTTTTATACTTAGTTATTAAAAATGTAGCCTAAAAACAATTCAGAAAATTTAAAAAACTACACATACATGCACACACACATATACCTCATAGTCTTAGCCATTACTATGAGGATCTTGAAATGATTTGAATTGTCCATAAAAACTGCTTGGAACAGCCATAGGCCTGTGATGTAATGTAATCTACTCACTGGGTGTCCTAACCTATCAAATTGGAATACATGGATATATTCTCAGGGCAGTATGGAACACAAGCAGAAAGTTCTCTTCACGCTCAACCCCATCCTCTGCTCTCCTCTGCAATCCCATTGTGTATATTCTGTTCTCACCTTTTTCTATGTATTTATGGCAATGTGTACAAATATGAACAAATGGATGTTTTTGCATAAATGTCATCATGTTGTGGTATGTGTTCAGTAATTTACGTTTTACTTAACAGTGTATCTTGGAGCTCATTCCCCACCGATTCAAAAAGATCTATTGCATGGTATTTCATGGTATGGTTCTCTACAGTCTATTTCACCATTCCGGTATGGTGGCGTAGTGGTTGAGAATAATGGCTGCTAACCAAAACGTCGGCAGTTCAGATCCACCAGGTGCTGCTTGGAAACCCTATAGGGCAGTTTTACTCTGTTCTTTAGGGTCGCTATAAGTCAGAATCGAATCGACGGCAACGGGTTTGGTGGGTTTTTTTTTTTTTTTTGGTATTGACAAACCTCAAGTCGTCTCCAGTTTCACCAACAAAAAGCCCTGTGGAATACCAGCTTTCCCTTGACACAATCCATTGATATGTCAGCAAAAAGATATTCGTCTAATTAGACCATTCTTACCATAGTGCCTTGAATGACACATACTTGTTTTATGTATTTTTATTCTTACATGAGGTATTTTGTTGTTAACAGATCTTACTTACAGCTTATTTGGTGTGCCACATAAAATTTGTTTAGGCTAAAATAAGAGAAAAGACAGTCACTCAACCCAGTTGCTTTAAGTGGTTAAAAAATGGGAACAAAATAAAGTCAGTGATTTAGTAGTGTCTCTGTTAATAAGTAGAACTGAAAATACATCTGACCTTTGTTCTCAGTCCCCACTGCTACTGTTTTAATTTAGTGCCTTTTACCTGGACAGTTACAAAAACCAAAGTTTTGTCACCTTCGACTAACTATCGTGCAGCCAGGGGGAGATTTCCAAAACGTGCATTTGGTCAATTCCAGTGCCTCGCAGTGTCTGGAACATAAGCCCTCAAAACTGTTGACAATGAGTGAATGAATGAATGACTCCCACTACCATTCTTACATCTCTTTAGGGTTCACCATTGCCTTCTAGTAAAATCCCAAACTCTTCCTTCCACTCATGACTCCTCCCTCTGTGGTCTGAGCCCTGGTTGATGCCAACCTTGACTCCCACTAGAGCCCTTCTTTTTTGTTGTTTTCAATCAGTTTTATTTAGGAATAATTAACATTCACTAAGATTCATCGTTTTTAGGTGTACAGTCCTATGAATTAAAACTGAATGGTAATCATTAGAGATTGAGAGGCAATTTTCTGTCTGCCTCTGGTAGACAAAGGCTAGAACATCACAAGCCCTAACAGATGATGATAACCAGAATGTCACAGCCCTAGTAGATGATGATCATAATGTCACAGCCCTAGTAGATGGTAACTAGAATGTCACAGTCCTAGTAGATGATGATCAGAATGTCACAGTCCTAGTAGATGATGACCAGAATGTCACAGCCCTCCTAGACGATGACCAGAATGTCACAACCCTAGTACATGATGACCAGGTTGTCACAGCCCTAGTAGATGATGACTAGAATGTCACAGCTCTGGTAGAGGATGACCAGAATGTCACAGCCCTAGTACATGATGACCAGGTTGTTACATCCCTCGTAGATGGTGACCAGAATGTCACAGCCCTAGTAGACAATAGCTAGAATGTCACAGCCCTAGTAGATGATAGTTAGAATGTCACAGCCCTAGTAGACAATGACCAGAATGCCACAGCCCTGGAAGATGATAAATAGAATGTCACAGTCCTAGGAGATGATGACCAGAATGTCACAGCCCAGGTATATAATGACCAGAATGTCCCAGCCGTAGTGGAAAATAACTAGAATGTCACTGCCCAAGTATTTGTCAAAGGTCCATCATGTGTCTTCAGAGGGATACAAAAATGTATAGACGG